ACGATTGATTCTGGAGCTCGTCTTTCTCTTGACGACGACCCTCTTGCTGGTTCGCTTACGTCTGAAACAAAGAAACGTACATTATACAAAGAAAAGTACATTATACAATCGCTAATCATAAAGCCATGTGTCGGATTTTCGGCAGTTTATCACGTATAATAAGTGAAAAGAAGTGCAGATATTCTTGTAATACTAATAACTCAAGGTTTCAAACAGGCTTAATAAAGCTCAATGAACTACTTACTCAGAGGTTTCATCACAAGAAACTGAGATTGCACGCTCGATTCTAGAGCTAGTCTCACTTTTTACGATGACCTTCTCACTGGCTCGCTCAGGTCTGAAAGAAATACAAGAGAAAGACAGTAAGAATTACGTAAGAATGGCCGCAATTTATAGTTACATTCACGGCCATTTATTTTATCCGGTTATCCATCATAACTGCTTGGTTAAACGTATAATATTATACGAACGCATAGTAACGCGGAGTCTCCAATATCTCACCGGATTGTGCAACTCTTTTTCATTGGTGATACTGCGTCAGAATCACTTGAGATGACGACGACATCTTTTGCTGCCCTGTGGAAATAAAAAATCTTTAAATACAAGGTTAGCTAAGGGTTGTCGAGAAATGTGTAACGCGAGTTCACACTGTTTGGATTTTTAGGTTTGCTAAGTGCCGTATTTGGAAACAGGTGTATTATTACAGAAACTAAAGAAATTCATTACATGTATCCAAAACAAGTGCTTCAAACAACTAATTGACGATGAACCAGAAAAATTTAACCTACGTCATGTAATGAAAATCGGGGGAACAAGTTCCAGTTGATGGCGACATCACTTCTGAAATCTGTGAGCTACCAAATAAATTATAAAAATTAAAATTTAAGTTGAAAGTCTCTTAGGAAATGTTCGGAAAATAGTGGGTACTTTTCGTCAATCTTCGTTTATGTTCGGGAACAGGTCGGGCCGCTTCGGCAATCTTCGAAAATGTTCGGAAAATAGTCGGCGATTTTCTTCAATCTTCGTTAATGTTCGGGAAAAAGTCGGGCCCCTTCTGCAAGCTTTGAAAATGTTCGGAAAATAGTCCGCGATTTTCGTCAATCTTATGCTGTGTTTACATTTGAGCTTTTACCAAGGTAAACAGTTACTAAGGTCAAGTTACTTAACCTT